GTGGAGATGTAACAGTGAGTAGAGCAGAACAGAAAGATTTCATCATTCAGAGCCTTCAGAGAATAAACAAAACATTATGTTTACTTTAAAGTGTTTAAAATGATTTCCTGCATATTTTACATTTTAACATTAATAGAAATTCCTGTATTCTTTAGATTTTACCCCAAAAGCACTAAGCTCTAACTTGAACAATATAAATTTGCACACAAATAATTGTATTTAATACATGTTTTTATTAAAACAATTTCAACATGCCTAACATTTTGTGATTTTGACCTGTTTGGATTTGAAGTTAAATTAGACTCATTTACTTTATCTGTAAAGTGCTCAAAGGTGACATTTGTTGTGAATCGATGTTTACAAACACAATAAACTGAATTTAGTTGATATTAATAAACCTTTAAACAAAAGAACATGTTTGTTACTGAAGACATTCAAAGTAAACCAGCGAATTCCATTTTCTACAAAAATGATGTGAATGTTGAAATTTGCAGAAGAAGCTGAAGCTGAGTTTTTAAAGCTAATAGAAGCCAAATACTAGATTTTAAAAAAACTAACCAAAACCTAAAACTAAATGTTAGCTTCAAAAAGTATTACACCAGGGTTTAGTTACTACACTAAAAGTGTAGTAACTAAACCCTGAAAGGCCCCCGGCCGGGATTTGAACCAGCGACCTTTGCGCTGAGAGGTGGCAGCTCTACCAACTGAGCCACCAAGAAAATGTTGTAAATAAAATGAAATATTTTAAAATAGTGTAAAAGTAACAAAACCCTACAGGTTTAACTTCTCGCTTGGGTTCGGTTGAGAAATCAAGAGGCTTAGCGGGCCGTCTAAAGTTTTGATTTCTTTAAACAAATTAAGCCTTTAGTCTGAAGGAGTTAACACCAGAAGCGAGCTGATGACGTCTGTGATGGTGCACGCTGGCAACATGAATACGTTTCAACACCCATGAGTGAGCTCCGTGCAATGCTGTGGAACCGGCCTCTGAGGGTGTTTATTCTAGAACAACTTTCCACCAAATCTAGAGGAACGCCTGCAGAAGGAGGTATGTCCTGAGCCACACTCGCATGCTCCCCTGCTGTTGTTATCACCACTGTCAGGTACAAGCACAAGTTCACTGAAATACAAAATACACCCAGCTTATTTTAAATAAAAAGATTTTTTTTTCTAACTTTATGTTTGTTTTCATCAACTAACAGACATAAACTGAAGACACTACTGAATATTTGGTCTCAGTGCAATTTTAAAGCAGTACTGGTAAATATATCTTTACTTCAGAGTTTAAACTACGCAATTAATTTATTTTTATTTTTTTCAGAAATGAGGAAGCAACAATTAACTGCCATACTTTTCATTGTTTTCCCATGACAGCTGAAGTATGATTGGATTCTTACTGTTTAATGCCAGAACATGTTGACTATGAAACTATTGGGTAAAAAATAACATTTAAATTTGGGGATTTGACTTGTTCATTTATTCATTCATTTAAAAGAAACA